GTTTCACCTCGAATAAACCTACCGATAATTGCTTGGCAAATTACCGTTACCGACCGCTATAAGGAAAGTTAGACAACACTACGTGAAGATATTTACTTTTACTATACTGTTACACAAGATACTTTAACATAAGTGTTACTCCATCAAGTCTTGTATCGTTCACTGAAATATTTTGCCACCCAGCGCTTTTGTTATTAAGAAAGGACAATGTTGAAGTGAAACAGCGATAATCTTTGTTTTCTTAGTTTTTTTTTGCGAATGAAAAAGTGTGTTTCGAGTTTGTTCTCTGATGTGTTTATACTTCCTCGCAACATTCCGCTGAAGTTCTGTATTACAGTCGAATTAGCCTTTAACCTGGCAGTACTAGGAAACATACGAATATTGACAGTAGTTTCAATTTTATTGATTTTTTGGACCTATCCAGCCTCATGACCTGGCCTATTTGAAGTTTTTTTTTGTCAGCACTACCCAAGCCATTCATAGTCACTCTCGTCATTTTGTGATTGTTGTCCAAAACCAGATCTAATCGACTAGGTGTGAAAAAGCGCAACATTTTCCCCATTTACTTTTTCTAATTGATTTTCATTTGACCAACGTGGGCTTTGCTGAAAAGTTTGAAATAACCTACTATAACTGCGTCAAGGTTCTCCTTAACCAGTTCGAATCCCACGTCATCGTCGAAGCTGCGTGCACCATTGCTTTGTAGGATGGAGTTGAAGTTAGTCTTTGGCGTCAATCAGTCCCATTTCCGGGATGCGCACCCTCTTTTTACCTCCAGTCAGAATCATTGTGGCGTTTGGATGGGTACGTGGCCTATACAATGATGTACGGTGGCCAGCCGGAATACAGATTTGTGTTTTAATCTTCCCAGGTGGTCTATTACTATCTGGGGGATGGAGGGCTTGGTCAACGTGGGCGAGTATCAATCCGGGCTTCGATCCCCGGGCCACCTTGTGTAATATTGCATCACTTGCCCCTATACCACCTAATCAGTTACCACCGCTCTATTTTGTGGATATACTTCACGCCACAAGTTGTGGAGAAGTAGGCGGAGCACAAGGGGGAGCCTCGCACTCGTGATTGGTGGGAAAGCCTCCAATTGCTGATTTCCAATGCTCTCATCTACCCCGCCCCCATGTGAATGTGTTCAGTGACTTTAAAATGAAGAATATTGAAGCAAACGCCGACTCGATCCTTTTTTGGTTTCAATTATGAGTACGATATCTGATAAATAGAGTCGAAGTACACGAGGGTCGAAAGTCCCAGCCAGAGTTGCAATGTCCCGAATTCACAAGAACTGATGGTACACTGAATACACAGACACAACAAGTATTCCTCTGTCCGGTTCTGATAAGAGGGTTGGTGGGTGTGGGCTAATGACGGGCATTGACAATAGAACACTTAAACAAAACTGTTCCAACGATAACATTTCTCGCTTCCAATATTTATCAACCATAGCTAATATGAATTGGTACATATTGGTAAATCTATTACTTGTTATCGAATCTGTTGTCAGCTACAAGATTCTCATATTGGCACCTAAATACGGTATAAGTCATATGAATTTCATGTCCAAGGTGGCTGATACATTGGTTGATGCCGGACATAACGTGGTGGGTTTCGCCAGGAGTTTTTTATTATGAGATTTTCTGTCTCACATGAATACGATGGAGTTACTCTGATATTTCCCATACAGCTTTTGGAATAGCATTTCTAAGTCTCTATCTAGAGCTCTGAAATCCGAAATTTGTTAAATATTCCATGGTAGTTCTTTTGGGCAGCTTTACCGAGAGACAGTAGGGTTGTTCCTACCGGTATGCGGCTTCGTTCAGAATTTCCCTGTGTGGGAAGGTACTCTCCTAAGTCGTTGAAATGTGGAATTTCTAGGTCTTGGTAAATGTCCCTATCACTTCGTTCACTCACAATCTTCGTTCACTCACAATCTCCCTCTTTTCGAAAGAATGGCCTCTCTTCAAAGAATGGAATAGATGACTTGCTCCTCGTTGCATGAATGTCATAAATGCAGAATTCATCCTATGCTCAATAAATGCTGATCGTGCAAATAATAGATCAAATCCCGTCTATCTGAACAAATGCCAAAAAATAAGGCTGGGATTCTTTCCTGGAGATAAGACAGATCAGTCAAATAGCTCGCACCTTTTGGTAGTGAAGTAAACTGCCACTGCCAGGGAGATACAGAAGAGATCCCATGCTTGGGAAACGTAGGTAACATTTTGCCTATTGCTGTGTCAGAACTTTCAGCTGTTCAGATGACCTGCTCAGGAAGCCGAGGAATTAAAAAGTAAGATATTATACCTGTAATCAGCATCACATAACCAATTGATTGTACTTGGGCTTACATCCAGAATCCTTCAAGAATTTGGAACTTTTCCTGATGACAGCGCCCCACCCTCTGATAATCCACTTTTTTTCAGACTGTGTACTTCTGATAATCCAGTTTTTTCAGACTGTTTACTCTCCGAACATACTCCCTCATAATGGCCCGATGCCAACGAAAGCTCATACAGTCGAGCCCGATTTTGATGGACTATTTTTGGATGTGGAATCTGCTCAACGTCATGTGTGGAACAGCGACATCGCTTCATACGTGCAGCTATCAAAAGTCGTCTTCAAGCCTTTACGTGTACTTGTTAAAGGTGGATCGGGTTGAAGTTTGCAGGCCATCTTAGTTAGCTGAGCAAAGCTTGGCGCTCTCTTATTGGTCAGAAGCCGCGCAGGTCTCATGCTTCGCAGCAAACGACCAATGAGGAACGCGCCAGGCACCGAATAGATTCCTAATCGATTTGTATCATTCCCAAAGATTGTGCAATTACGGAATGCTACTAATTTCCACTAAATTAGAGAAGAAAGGGACTGTGGCCCCAATGAGTCGAGGCTTTGCCTCCCAACCCGAGAAGTGGGGAGAAGAGCCTAACGAGATGTTCCGTTCCATCTCCTTTAAGTAGTAGTACTTTACATTCGTTTAACTTGTTAATTCCAAATTTGTAGATAAATAATTACTTAAGAATAGATTCGGGTGGCCGGTGAACTTTGCTCTGGACCCCTTCTGAGAGTTGTTGCATCTTACTACAGTAAGAACACAGTAGTAATGATAGCAATATTCGAAAGCGGCGGTGACTGAAGATGCGGGAGGAGAGCATAGAGACGATGCAATGTAACCCACCAATGGGAGAACTGCCAAGCACCGCTAGGGTCTCTCAGTGGCTACAACATGAGCTCAACCTCCCTCCCTCCGCCCACCGCTAGACAACACGACTTTTGCTGCAAAATTTTTATTTTCAGCTCTTTACAGTTCGGACGAGTTCCATGCATGGATACGTGAACAAAATTTCGACATTGCTGTGTCCGAAGGTTTCTTTGCCTTGGATTGTCTGCTCTACGTGTTGGGAATTAGAAAGTAAGATGGAAACTAGTACTATTTGAAGCACACGAGTAAAGACGGAGTTGTGTCATGTAGATCTGGAATAAGATTCATGGTCCAGACTAGCCTGATGGACAGTTCAGTTGCCACTCGGCTTTACCACTCGGACTCGGGCTTGTTAGGGAGACCATAAGCGCTGTCTTTCACCTTGCTGTGGTCCCACAGTGCACTGCAGAAATCAAGTAATCCCAATATCTGCTTAAAACAGTACTATAAATCTAGCACCTAGACAAGATTTTGAGCTCATCCCGAAAATGGTCAACGCCGGGAGTTCTATCTTGCACACTGTGTAACCGCGACCGCGTGAGCGGGTACAAAAAACTTTTAGGGCTTCTCAATCTTAAATTTGAGACTGAGGACCCAGATTTACTGTAGTACTACAAACCTTTCTCGATGGATAATTTAATTGGCGTCATCCAAATTAAGAAGAGTTGATCTACCTAAGTTCCTGAGTTCCAATAGCACTAGGTAGGACGATTCTAGAAGAAAACGGGAGCGCGGCGCATCCCGGTGGATCTTGACCAGATCACAGTCAATAAATTTGTTAAGCGTTGGCATAGTGAGCCTTAATTTGACCCTACAAGTCAATCAGTACCTACACAAGTATAAGTCTAAGGATTGGAAATGGAAAGTCCACTCACGGATGGTCATTAGCCGTGCCAGCGCTCATTTCGTACCAGCAAAAGCATAGACAAGTAAATTGTACGAAAGGGAATATTAGAGCCTCACCTATAAACTCTCAATCTACGCTTGCCAGCCACATTTCCAAGATTTTACCTGCATAACTACTGCAATCGATCCGTCTGTAATTTTGTATTTCAGGTTTGTCGTGACCGTATCCACGAATCCGGTTGAGCAGGTGGTTAATGCACTAGGTATACCAGTCACGCCTAGTTTCGTTCCAGGTACTCTTTTGCTGATAATTAGATCTTTATGGCTACTTCCTACACAAAATTACTTCCAGTTAACAACAAAGGATTTTCGGTCCCTATGACATACATGGAGAGAGCACTGAACCTTCTGGAATATGTTTTCGTGAAAACTGTTATTGAATACTCTCTCCAACCAGAATTTGATAGTTACTTTGATGAAAAATTTGGTAAAGATGTCTGGTCCATGCAGGTGAGATCTTATATTTTAATGATCAGTTTGAGTGAGTAATTCGGTGTTAGGGAGCGCTGGGTGTGGTGCAGTAGGAACGAAATTGTCACGTCGCGGCGAGGGGATGCCGCG